ACAGTTTTAGGAGTTTTTGCTCAATAAAATAGTCAGTCGTCTGAATTTTTAAGTCCATCGTCTGTATTTACATTCACCCACTGGGAGCTAAACTCCATGCCTACACTATCGAGCGTGTATGAACTATCTGTGACTACTTCTATATTGCTGATTAGCTGTTGGGCATTTCACTCTCTCACTGAAGGCAGTCGACCAATCGCAGCAGACTGTCATCGGTCCAATCAGCGCAGATTAACTTCGGGGTAAAGAGGGGTTTGGGAACAAATGAATCACTGGACGATTCATACAGGAGTCGCTGGGATAATTAGGTAAAAATAAATGCAGATTATAAGACCATGAAAGTGTTTTTTGAACTTCCATGCATATTAGACTGTTGTTGGAGACCAAGATATGACCCTATTTTATGTATAATATGGGCTCTTTAATAAAAATAGATTATTTAATATTAAGATGACTGTCTTAAGAAGAAAGCAAGGCAAGTTTATTTCTTTAGCACATTTCATACACCATGGCGATTCGAAGTGCTTTACACAAACAGGAATAAAAGACACAAGAATATGATAAAATAATAAAAAATAATAATTAAAATGATTAAAAAAATGATTAAAATGTGTTAAAACAGGTTATGAAAGAATGAAAAAACAAAAAGGAAGAAATAATAGTGTGATGTGAGGGCCGTAGCACAGTGCTCATACAGCTAAACAGATGTGTGTTCAGTCTTGATGTGAATGTGCCTAATGTTGGAGCACATCTGATCATTTCTGGAGGCTGATTCCAGCAGTGGGGGGCGCTGTTAGTATCTGAAGCTGATTCACCCTGCTTTGACTTTGAACCCAGAGCTCAAACAGAGATTCCAATTATAAAACTAAAGCATTATAAACTCTTAATTATAGTTAACATGTAAAGTTACAAAGATGAAAATGTACAGCAGAAAAAGTAGGGAAAATGTAAATGAAGAATCATTTTGAAATCGGATCGGGACCCACAGAATGGCTGTTTTGAAGATCGTAACTGATTATGTAACATTAGCATAGCAATCAAAATCTGAATCTGCCTTCTGATTGGCTGAGTGGGTGTGACCAGAGTGTAATTCAGATTGCTGATTGGTTACTTTAGAATAAACAGCATTTTCTGCGCGGGTGTTGAGGTCTGATGCTGGCAGCTGATTGGATGAAGACTTAGCGGCAATGATGACATCACATTTTGGAAGATTTTCATACGTGCAGTCAGTCTGAAAAACAGCACATGAGTAATGCGTTTATTAACAGAACCGTCATCATACAGATATCAGTACACAGATATGAACACACACCTCAGTGTTCTGCTGCACATTCTGCAGAGGTAAAGCTGAATGGAGGAGGAACAAACACTGTTAAATCAACTCAAACAGCAGTTCAACTGGACTTCATCATCACAGACACACTGTTACCTGTCTCACATTTCCTTTTCCTCTTCTTCAGGATGAGGAAAGTTCCAGAACACAGAAGCAGAACCAGCAGAACTGAACCCAGACCACCAGCCACTGAACCCAGATCAGTATGTAGCGCAAAACACACAAAAAGCACATTACTGATGAGATTATACTGTAGAATGAACAATCTCTGGACGTAACTGAAGTGAAACTGCATCAGTAAACCTCAAATATTCAACAGAAAATCATGTATTTCTACAGCTGATGTCTAAACACATTCACTGTGTAAATCTGATGTGCTTCATTTTCATCCTGATAAAAATGTGGCTCTGCAAATGTTATTTTACTCCAGAATGTTTCCTTTAAAGCAAAGAGATGGAGACAGGTGCATTGTGGGTAGTGTAGTTTGTGTTCTTACCAGTCACCAGAACTGTGGTATTTCCTGTTCCTTTTTCTGATGCAGTTTCTGGGTGAGTCACTGATAGCGAGAAAGAAATAAACAGCAGAGACGTGAATGAGCTGCTCATACTGAAGAAGAACATGAACACACACACACACACACACACACACACATAAATACAGCACATGATGAATATGTCTGAAGTAAGTGTGATTGACCTGTAGAGTTGTGCTGATCTGTGCTGCTGCTGGACTGCAGATTCACTTCTGTTGAGCTGAAATATGACGGCGTGTTGGAGAAAGAGCTGACAGATGAACCTTCAGTGTTTTCCTGATCTGATGGACAGACAGAGATGAGCACAAACACTAATGCTGGAGTTCAGTTCAAACACATCTCATTATTCAGTTCATCAGAGTCGATTCACTGAACACACTGCCTCTAGTGGCCTGATGAGGGATTTATTCACTGCAGACACACACTACAGGAGAATGAGGGAAGTAGAGCTCAATTCTACAAGAGACATTAAAATAGATCCCTTACCCTGTTTGACCATCAGCACAATCTCTGAATAGACATCAAATACACTCTTCTCCACAGCACACCAGTATTGTCCTTCATCCTCTGTTCTCAGATCAGTGATAGTGACGGTGAAAACTTTGTTTGTCGTGTCGTCAGTCAGAGAGAATCTCTTGTCTTTAGGTGAAGATCTAGATTCAACGATGATGTCTTTAAATCCAGGAGTGCACTTGCCCTTACAGAAATACTTTGAGTTTGACTCATATCCAGACTCATATGAGCATCTGATGTCCAGTTTCTCTCCTCTGTGTCCTGAAGCTGTAACTGGAGCTCCAACAACAGCTGAAAACACAGATATGATCATAAAGAGCTGTTATGAGCGAGAGATTATCAGAATACAGTCACTCATTTCAGACTGATGATCATTCAATAAGCAAATGTTGATCTGTGAACAAAAGTCTTCAGAGTTTTAATCTCACCTGTAAAGAAGCTGTAAATGAGCAGCAGAATGACGTCCCACATGCTGAAACTGCAGTGTTTTGCTTGAATAAAACACACAGACTGTGTATGAAACACTCCACCGTCCGTCTCTTCCGTGCTGAGAGCTCATCACAGTCTAAATGAACATTTCCTTTCACACCTTTATGTATCTTCATCTCTCTCACCTCTTCAAGACGTCTTAAAAGAGCACATTCACCCTTACAAACAGCTCCTGCTTTACTCATATTACTGATCTGAACAGTCCAGCGTTTACACTCATAATATACGTATAGAAGATGAATGCTTGTTCATGCATTTTTAGGTTTTTAAATTCTTGCATTCAGTCTTAACACCAAGTTGAAAAATGAAAATGTCTGGAAAATACATGATAATACATTAGTACATCATTATCTGCTCATTAGCTAAAATAGCAGGGGAGTTCTCGAGATCTACCTAAGCTCAAACTCCCCTCTAAGGAGGGAGCCCCGTGCTCAAGGACCTTATGAGCTCAGGGCTCTCTCCCGGGACAGCATGCCAAGCTAGCTTTATAATCAATCATCAGCTAAGTGTGAACTCTTGAATATGCTGTAAAGCTTGTTTTATTGGTTAAGCCATATCTTGCTGAATATCCTGTGGAATATTATTTACTGTCATCATGACGAAGACAAAAAAAGTTTTTTAAACTATTATATTAAAAATGTGTGAGGAAAAATTCCCTCTGTTAAACAGCACTTGGGAAATACCTGACAAAGAATTTTAATTTCACAGAAAAGCTAAACATTTTTTAATTCAGTTGTACAGTTTTTTTTTTTATTTTATTTTCTTAATGTTATAAGCAAATAAAAAACGTGATGCTCTCTTTTATTTGTGGAAAATGAATATTATAACTGCTTTTTTTATAATCAGCTTCTTTTTTTACATTCAGAGCTTGTTCATCCAGAATAATTATTAATAAAAATAGATTATTTGATATTGTAACGGGGAGACTGACACGGAGGGATCCATTTGCAGTATTTATTAAGTCACACCTAATCAACATACAACACGCACGGCTGTGCGAACATACAACATACACATCAATGAGAATGGGCTGGAGATGACAGACACAGAGTGATTACCAGGCATGGGTCAGAGGCAGGCAGCGTGATTCAGAGTCTGTGTAACAGGCTTTAGTCAAGGGCAGGCAGAGAGTATCAGAGTCCGAGTAACAGGCTTTGGTCGTGGGCAGGCAGAAGACAGAGCAGAGTCAGGAAACGGGCTGAAGTAGTAAACGGGAGATCAGGCAGGATAGACCGCTCAGAAATGCTGGCCGGGGCTAAACAAGACTTCGCACAGAAGAGTGAGTGTGAGCTGCTTATGAAGGGTACGTGGGTCATTAGCGGAATGGAGAACAGGTGTGCTGGAATCAGAGTGGAGGGATGACGTAATGTTAGAAGTCCGGAGATGGTGGCCTCTGCTGGCCAGCGAGGGGAATGACTGGGACCGAGTCGGTGACAGATATTAAGATGACAGTACTGTCAATGGCAAGGCAAAGCAAAGCAAATTTATTTCTTTAGCACATTTCATACACAATGGCATTTCGAAGTTCGAAGTGCTGCTTAACACAAACAGCAATAAAAGAGACAAGAATAAGAAATTATTTTTAAAAATAATAAAAATGATTAAAAAACAGATTAAAATGTGTTAAAATAGGTTATAAAGGAAAAAAGGAAGAAATAAAAGTGTGATGTGAGGGCTGTAGCACAGTGCTCATACAGCTAAACAGATGTGTGTTTAGTCTTGATGTGAATGTGCCTCATGTTGGAGCACATCTGATCATTTCTGGAGGCTGATTCCAGCAGTGGGGGGCGCTGTTACGCCCTATTCACACGGGGCGTCAGCGTCAACGCTTCCCATTCACTTTGAATGGGTGACGTCAGGCGTTGCCGAACTGCATTGTGGATCCGTCGGCGCCGCTTCAGAAGCGTTCCTCGCTGCAGAAGTTGGGACCAGCTCAACTTTTCAAGCGCCGACGGAAGCGTCAGCCAATCAGATCGCTGTATGCAAATACACCAGCTCAGACAGTGGCCTATTGCTGACTGAATTTCATTGGCTGATGCTTCTATGACGATCGTTTCAGCTCCAACTTCAGACACGCCCTCTGTCAAGCGTTGACGCTGAAGCCCCGTGTGAATAGGGCGTTAGTATCTGAAGCTGATTCACCCTGCTTTGACTTTGAACCCAGAGCTCAAACAGAGATTTCAGTTATAAAAGTAAAGCATTATAAACTCTTAATTATAGTTAAAATGTAAAGTTGCAAAGATGAAAATGTACAGCAGAAGAAATAGGGAAAATGTAAATAAAGAATCATTTTGAAATCGGATCGGGACCCACAGAATGGCTGTTTTGGAGATGGTAAATGATTATGTAACATTAGCATAGCAATCAAAATCTGAATCTGCCTTCTGATTGGCTGAGTGGGTGTGACCAGAGTGTAATTCAGATTGCTGATTGGTTACTTTAGAATAAACAGCATTTTCTGCGCTGGTGTTGAGGTCTGATGCTGGCAGCTGATTGGATGAAGACGTAGCGGCAATGATGACATCACATTTTGGAAGATTTGCATACGTGCAGTCAGTCTGAAAAACAGCACATGAGTAATGCGTTTATTAACAGAACCGTCATCATACAGATATCAGTACACAGATATGAACACACACCTCAGTGTTCTGCTGCACATTCTGCAGAGGTAAAGCTGAATGGAGGAGGAACAAACACTGTTAAATCAACTCAAACAGCAGTTCAGCTGGACTTCATCATCACAGACACACTGTTACCTGTCTCACATTTCCTTTTCCTCTTCTTCAGGATGAGGAAAGTTCCAGAACACAGAAGCAGAACCAGCAGAACTGAACCCAGACCACCAGCCACTGAACCCAGATCAGTATGTAGCGCAAAACACACAAAAAGCACATTACTGATGAGATTATACTGTAAAATGAACAATCTCTGGACGTAACTGAAGTGAAACTGCATCAGTAAACCTCAAATATTCAACAGAAAATCATGTATTTCTACAGCTGATGTCTAAACACATTCACTGTGTAAATCTGATGTGCTTCATTTTCATCCTGATATATAACGGTTAAAATATGGCTCTGCAAATGTTATTTTACTCCAGAATGTTTCCTTTAGAGCAAAGAGATGGAGACAGATGCATTGTGGGTAGTGTAGTTTGTGTTCTTACCAGTCACCAGAACTGTGGTATTTCCTGTTCCTTTTTCTGATGCAGTTTCTGGGTGAGTCACTGATAGAGAGAAAGAAATAAACAGCAGAGACGTGAATGAGCTGCTCATACTGAAGAAGAACACACACACACACACACACACACACACACACACACACACACACATATGAATAAAGCACATGATGAATATGTCTGAAGTAAGCGTGATTGACCTGTAGAGTTGTGCTGATCTGTGCTGCTGCTGGACTGCAGATTCACTTCTGTTGAGCTGAAATATGACGGCGTGTTGGAGAAAGAGCTGACAGATGAACCTTCAGTGTTTTCCTGATCTGATGGACAGACAGAGATGAGCACAAACACTAATGCTGGAGTTCAGTTCAAACACATCTCATTATTCAGTTCATCAGAGTCGATTCACTGAACACACTGCCTCTAGTGGCCTGATGAGGGATTTATTCACTGCAGACACACACTACAGGAGAATGAGGGAAGTAGAGCTCAATTCTACAAGAGACATTAAAATAGATCCCTTACCCTGTTTGACCATCAGCACAATCTCTGAATAGAGATCTTTAATAAGTAAACCCCTCCTCACAGCACACCAGTATTGTCCTGCATCCTCTGTTCTCAGATCAGTGATGGTGATGGTGAAAACTCTGTTTTTCTTGTCGTCAGTCAGAGAGAATCTCTTGTCTTTTGCTGAAGATCCTGATTCAACTATGATGTTTTTATTCCCAAAGTTACACTCGCCTTTACAGAAATACTTTGAGTTTGACTCATATCCAGACTCATATGAGCATCTGATGTCCAGTTTCTCTCCTCTGTGTCCTGAAGCTGTAACTGGAGCTCCAACAACAGCTGAAAACACAGATATGATCATATAGAGCTGTTATGAGCGAGAGATTATCAGAATACAGTCACTCATTTCAGACTGATGATCATTCAATAAGCAAATGTTGATCTGTAAACAAAAGTCTTCAGAGTTTTAATCTCACCTGTAAAGAAGCTGTAAATGAGCAGCAGAATGACGTCCCACATGCTGAAACTGCAGTGCTTTGCTTCAATAAAACACACAGACTGTGTATGAAACACTCCACCGTCCTTTTCTTCCGTACTGAGAGCTCATCACAGTCTAAATGAACATTTCCTTTCACACCTTTATTTATCTTCATCTCTCTCACCTCTTCAAGACGACTTAAAAGAGCACATTCACCCTGACAAACAGCTCCTGCTTTACTCATATTACTGATCTGAACAGTCCAGCGTTTACACTCATAATATATGTATAGAGGATGAATGCTTGTTCATGCATTTTTAGGTTTTTAAATTCTTGCATTCAGTTTTAACACCAAGTTGACAAATGAAAATATCTAGAAAATACATGATAATACATTAGTACATCATTATCTGCTCATTAGCTAAAATAGCAGGGGAGTTCTCGAGATCAACCTGAGCTCAAACTCCCCTCTAAGGAGGGAGCCCCGTGCTCAAGGACCTTATGAGCTCAGGGCTCTCTCCCGGGACAGCATGCCAAGCTAGCTTTATAATCAATCATCAGCTAAGTGTGAACTCTTGAATATGCTGTAAAGCTTGTTTTATTGGTTAAGCCATATCTTGCTGAATATCCTGTGGAATATTATTTACTGTCATCATGACAAAGACACAAACAAGTTATTCAAACTCTTATTTTTAAAATGTGTTGAGGAAAAATTCCCTGTTAAACAGCATTTGGGAAATACCTGACAAAGAATTATAATTTCACAGAAAAGCTAAACATTTTTAAATTCAGTTACACAGTTTTTTTTTTTTCATTTTCTTAATGTTATAAACAAATAAAAATTGTGATGCGCTCTTTTATTTGTGGAAAATGAATATTATAACTGCTTTTTTATAATCAGCTTCTTTTTTTACATTCACAGCTTGTTCATCCAGAATAATTATTTAATAAAAATAGATTATTTGATATTAAGATGACAGTACTGTCAATGGCAAGGCAAAGCAAAGCAAATTTATTTCTTTAGCACATTTCATACACAGTGGCGTTTCGAAGTTTGAAGTGCTGCTTAACACAAACAGCAATAAAAGAGACAAGAATAAGAAAAAAATTAAAATGATTAAAAAACAGATTAAAATGTGTTAAAACAATTTATAAAAGAAAAAAAGGAAGAAATCAAAATGTGATGTGAGGGCTGTAGCACAGTGCTCATACAGCTAAACAGATGTGTGTTCAGTCTTGATGTGAATGTGCCTCACGTTGGAGCACATCTGATCATTTCAGCTGATTCCAGCAGTGGGGGGCGCTGTTAGTATCTGAAGCTGATTCACCCTGCTTTGACTTTGAACCCAGAGCTCAAACAGAGATTTCAATTATAAAACTAAAGCATTATAAACTCTTAATCATAGTTAAAATGTAAAGTTGCAAAGATGAAAATGTACAGCAGAAAAAGTAGGGAAAATGTAAATAAAGAATCATTTTGAAATTGGATCGAGACCCACAGAATGGCTGTTTTGAAGATCGTAACTGATTATGTAACATTAGCATAGCAATCAAAATCTGAATCTGCCTTCTGATTGGCTGAGTGGGTGTGACCAGAGTGTAATTCAGATTGCTGATTGGTTACTTTAGAATAAACAGCATTTTCTGCGCTGGTGTTGAGGTCTGATGCTGGCATCTGATTGGATGAAGACTTAGCGGAAATGATGACAAGATTTTCATACGTGCAGTCAGTCTGAAAAACAGCACATGAGTATTGCGTTTATTAACAGAACCGTCATCATACAGATATCAGTACACAGATATGAACACACACCTCAGTGTTCTGCTGCACATTCTGCAGAGGTAAAGCTGAATGGAGGAGGAACAAACACTGTTAAATCAACTCAAACAGCAGTTCAACTGGACTTCATCATCACAGACACACTGTTACCTGTCTCACATTTCCTTTTCCTCTTCTTCAGGATGAGGAAAGTTCCAGAACACAGAAGCAGAAGCAGCAGAACTGAACCCAGACCGCCAGCAACTGAACCCAGATCAGTATGTGGCACAAAACACACAAAAAGCACATTACTGATGAGATTATACTGTAGAATGAACAATCTCTGGACGTAACTGAAGTGAAACTGCATCAGTAAACCTCAAATCTTCAACAGAAAATCATGTATTTCTACAGCTGATGTCTAAACACATTCACTGTGTAAATCTGATGTGCTTCATTTTCATCCTGATATATAACGGTTAAAATGTGGCTCTGCAAAAGTTATTTAACTCCAGAATGTTTCCTTTTGAGCAAAGAGATAGAGACAGGTGCATTGTGGGTAGTGTAGTTTGTGTTCTTACCAGTCACCAGAACTGTGGTATTTCCTGTTCCTTTTTCTGATGCAGTTTCTGGGTGAGTCACTGATAGAGAGAAATAAATAAACAGCAGAGACGTGAATGAGCTGCTCATACTGAAGAAGAACATGAACACACACACACACACACACACACACACACACACACACACACATGAATAAAGCACATGATGAATATGTCTGAAGTAAGCGTGATTGACCTGTAGAGTTGTGCTGATCTGTGCTGCTGCTGGACTGCAGATTCACTTCTGTTGAGCTGAAATATGACGGCGTGTTGGAGAAAGAGTTGACAGATGAACCTTCAGTGTTTTCCTGATCTGATGGACAGACAGAGATGAGCACAAACACTAATGCTGGAGTTCAGTTCAAACACATCTCATTATTCAGTTCATCAGAGTCGATTCACTGAACACACTGCCTCTAGTGGCCTGATGAGGGATTTATTCACTGCAGACACACACTACAGGAGAATGAGGGAAATAGAGCTCAATTCTACAAGAGACATTAAAATAGATCCCTTACCCTGTTTGACCATCAGCACAATCTCTGAATAGACATCAAATACACTCTTCTCCACAGCACACCAGTATTGTCCTGCATCCTCTGTTCTCAGATCAGTGATAGTGACGGTGAAAACTTTGTTTGTCGTGTCGTCAGTCAGAGAGAATCTCTTGTCTTTAGGTGAAGATCCTGATTCAACGATGATGTCTTTAAATCCAGGAGTGCACTTACCTTTACAGAAATACTTTGAGTTTGACTCATATCCAGGATCATATGAGCATCTGATGTCCAGTTTCTCTCCTCTGTGTCCTGAAGCTGTAACTGGAGCTCCAACAACAGCTGAAAACACAGATATGATCATATAGAGCTGTTATGAGCGAGAGATTATCAGAATACAGTCACTCATTTCAGACTGATGATCATTCAATAAGCAAATGTTGATCTGTAAACAAAAGTCTTTAGAGTTTTAATCTCACCTGTAAAGAAGCTGTAAATGAGCAGCAGAATGACGTCCCACATGCTGAAACTGCAGTGTTTTGCTTGAATAAAACACACAGACTGTATATGAAACACTCCACCGTCCGTCTCTTCCGTGCTGAGAGCTCATCACAGTCTAAATGAACATTTCCTTTCACACCTTTATGTATCTTCATCTCTCTCACCTCTTCAAGACGACTTAAAAGAGCACATTCACCCTGACAAACAGCTCCTGCTTTTCTCATATTACTGATCTGAACAGTCCAGCGTTTACACTCATAATATACGTATAGAAGATGAATGCTTGTTCATGCATTTTTAGGTTTTTAAATCCTTGCATTCAGTCTTAACACCAAGTTGACAAATGAAAATATCTAGAAAATACATGATAATA